GCGACGTTAGTCCCCGCCCGATGATTGCTCGTCTGAGCTTCCCCAAGCAACATCTGAACGGAAACATCGGAAATAACCTCGGCGCCCCGGGACTCCTCGGTCGCGGCATGCCTAACTTGTTCCGTAGAACACTTCCACAGTCTAGACCGTATCGCCACCCACGCGGAGGTGCCGTTGTGGAGAACGACAAGCCCGGGACCGACCCATCTATCCTTCTGGCGCGCATAGGTTTTCTGGCCCCCCCTGGGGGGCCCCCTCCAGACGTGAACCCACTGCCCAGGACTGAAATGCTTCTCTCGATGCACCGAGGATCGGACAGCATCCGCAAGGCGCCGCCGACTGGAGCTCTCGAAGAGCTCTTTCCTGGCCAGGCGGCGGATGGCGTCGCGACGGGCGCATTCTGCCGCTGCCGTGTCGCTGCCCCAGGATCCTGGAGAGAGATCTTCTGCCCCCACGACTTGGAGGGGATCGTCCCTGGCGAGGTCGTTCGGGATCCTGGGGTTGATCCCGAAGACGAGTTGACACGGCGTGAACACCCCCTGTGAAGGTACCGATTCTTGGCCGAGACAACCTCGTGAACAGGAGCTTCGATCTCGGCCGGCGCGGTGACGAAAACCCCCTCGGAAGCCTTCGCGAAAATATATTTCACCCAACCCCCGTGTCTTTCAGCCCGACCGTTGCGCCGCGGACTCTCGGAGTCCGTGACGTGTTGGAAAACTCCAAGGTGTTCTATTCCCCGCTCGAATTCCCCCTTGAACTCCGGTCCTCCGTCCGTGATAGCGAAAAGGGGAACCCCGAAGGGTCGAATCCTTCACCTCATGAGAGCCCTCCGGGCCCCCCAGCGCCGTGCCATCATACATCTCAACGGTCTGAAAGTTAGCGCCGTGACATATCACGTTGAGAAAGGCCAGCTGCTGGTCGTGAAAGGTGACAAAAAAGGTAACCATAGCCACTATCTTATTGAACTCGAAAGTCCTGGGAACAGCAGCTGGTCGCGCGCTGTCGGGGCGGGCGTGGGCGGCGCAATCTCCGCACTGGTACTCGCCACGAACGAACCGCAGGACCTCCAGCTTAGCTTGGGCAGCTCTCAGGATTTGAACGGAAACCTCCTTATGGGGATGACCCAGATTGACGTGGACCTTGTGGGTCTTCTTCGAACTTTTGGGGTAATCTCGAGCCTGGAGGGCACCCGGTTGTCCTCCTCGGCTTCCTCGGGACCGGGCTCTTCCCCGGCCTGGCCTTCCTCCGCCTCCGCCAGAAAGCTCGCAGCCACGTGAAGCTGCCTATATTCCGGCTGCCTTACACGGGCGACCTGCTCTGGCGTCGGGGGAGCGCAAGCCTCCTCGATGCTGGAGCGGATGGCTTCGGCCAGGGCCTTGCAAAACTTGGGAGGGTAAACTCGGGCCGCACTGGTCATGGCTCCTCCTATAAGCTGAGCGTGAGGATGATCGCCCCGGCAGCGGGCATCCTCGAAGCGCCGCAGAAAAGCCTGGCAACTGGATATCAGCCTAGTGGGTTTCTTCGAGAGCTCCCCCCCCTTGGCGACCGAAAGCCCGAACCGACACATATCGACATCCGTGACACGCACCTCCGGGAGTTCAGAAATAAACCGAACCACGTTCGTGCACCAGGAGCTGGCCATGGCGGGGTGCTCAAAAACGAACTTCCCATGGTCTTGATGCTGTTCCAGAGCCACTTCCATGGCGAAACCGAGAAGGACCAGAGCTTCGGCGTGCCTTCGTCGCTGATGCTCTGAGACTTCTTGGTGGATTTGGCGATTCTGGCCAATCGAGAACTGGTCGCAAGGAGGCTCTAGAGCTACCAGCCACGGTCTCTCCTCCCTGAGGCGAGTTCTAGATTTGCGCCTATGATCCTCTCTTCTGAAGTCACATCCCCCCCCCTGATCGAAGCTGCCGATGCCCCTGATGCCCGCATGCTCCGCGTGCCTGGCGATTCTTGGTGGTGAGAACACCTCGGCAAAAGCTCGCCTCCTCAGCTGAGCCCTGAAACTCTTGATCTTACTGGGGATCCCCGAATCGGCATATATACTTTTTCTCTCCCGCTTGCTGAGGAGACGTTCCCTGTCGTCGGAGGTAAAATCGCCGAAGATGGCATCGTCGAGCTCCCTGCATCTAAAGCGGATAGTATCCTGACTCTCGCCCAATTCGGTGACCTCGAAGAGCGAACATAATTTCGTAAAGGACTCCTGGGACCCCGCTTCCATGGTGTATTCGTTTGGGTGGTTGGGGTCCCCTATCCTGGTACTGGCACTGGGTGGCTGCGCTGCCCTACGCACGTCCACTTGGCGTCGCTGCTGTCGTAGCGGTAGTCCTGCCACCCCGTCGGAGTCCAGCCCTCCTGGGCCAGCCTGCGCTTCTCCACGTCCTTCTGGTGCTCCTGGGCCTCCCACGCTCGCTCGTCCTAGGACCGCTGCCAAGCTGCGTCTGAAGCTTTCTGCGGGCGACCAGGGCGCTCCTGTGGCTGTGGAGTCCCCCGCTGCCAGGCTGTCGCCGTGGGATGCCCCGCTGGCGTGGCTGGCGCTGGCTCCTGCGATGGCTGAACAAAAGGAAACGTCGCTATACTGCTGATGGTGGACGAAGACACCAGCTGGCCCTCCTTGTCGCGAATGCCCCTCGGGTTGGCATTGTCCTTCTTCAGCAGGCTCCTCTGCGATGCATACCCCTTTGGCGGCCATGGAACCGACGGGCCCGCTGATGCCGCTGCTTGCGAAGGAGGTAGGCCGTGCGACGGGTAGGCAGGGGTCACGGGCGCCGCCCCGACGATCCCCCAGTCGTGGAGGCCTGCGACCTGGGGCGCCATGCCGATCCCGATCGTCTGCCTGACCTGCGTGGGCGGCGTGGCAATCGACATCTGCGGCACGCCTGGAGGGACTCCTGCTGGTTGAAGTAGACCTGGAGGCCCCTGGCGTCCGACTTCTTCCGCCTGGCCTGCCACCGCTGCTGCTGCTGCCCCGCCGTGTCCCGGCCCTCGCGCCTGAGCGCTCGCCAATGGGACTGGCTGCGAGCTGAGCTGGTGCGCCAAGGCGGGCTGCAGCGTCACCTGCCGTGGTGGGAACTCGGGCTGCTGCTTCAATGGCGTACCTGGCTGCGAGTTCGACTGAAGCTGCGACTGCATCGTGGCCAAGGCGTTCATCTGTCCTGAGATGGTGCTCTGCAGGCCCGCAATCACGCGGTCCTGCGCCTCCTGCTTGGCCGCGAGGTTCTTGAGGATCTGGAGCGTCTCCTCGGAGTTGCCTGCGTCGTCCGAGCTCGCCGTCCCTTCGATCATCGGACGCTTAGCGGGGGCCTGACTCGAGTCCTTGCGTCTCTGAGCCCTCACCTGGCGAGCCTGCTCCTCCGCGTCCTCCATCGCGGCGTCGGGCTGCTCCTCCTCGTGGCTCCGGTAGACCTCCTCCGCTGCCCTGCGGTCGCGAGCAGCTGGCCAGGGCGGGGGAGTGCCGGCTGGCGCGACTCCGCCCTGAAACGACCCGGGAGGCGGGGCCGGCGTGTTGACCAGGGCCTGCCAGTCCTGCGAAGGGGCCCCATACTGGGCGAAACCCTTGCCGCACAAGGTGCACGCGGCCGTCGTGCGCTTGCAGACGCACGAGACGTCGACCTTCGGCTTGCCTTTCTCGGGCTTGACCTCGCGGTAGGCGACCAGCATAGTGGCATAGTGCAGGACGAACAGACCCACCACTGCCCATGCCAATTGCATCCGTACTCGACGCTGGTGGGCAGGTGTCGGCACGTGTAGAACGCGTCCGGGATCACCCGCAAGCGCCTGATCAGGTTCGTGGGCCAGAACCTCTTGTCGAGCATCATGCGCCCAAACTCGTCGGCGAGCTTGTTGAGCCAGAACACTATGCTGCCGACGATAGCCGCCCGCCGCTTCTCCTTGCGGTTCAGGTTGGACGGGGCCTGCGTCCCCGTGACCGCGCACGTCCATGTGGAGCTCGGACCCATCCGGTGGTCGACCAGAGTCATTGGCCGCTGAGCACGACGCTGGGCCTCGGTCTGCTGCTTTTTCTTTCTCTCTGACGGCTGGCCGGCATTGACGCTGCCGACCGACGGTGCACTGGGCATGTCTGAACTTCGGCAGGCTGAGTGGCTGTAGCTCTCGCCGCGGGCTGGATTCGCTTCTCTTTGAGGCTCGGAAGCTCGAGCCGAACCGCTGTAGCAGAAGACCCACCATAATGGATGTCACCGCCCATATGTGGATGAGATTCTTCCGGAGGAGGGTCCCGCTCACCGTCGCTCCGAAGGCGTCGTCGCGATATCTCCCCTGGCATCTTCTCGCCCCTGAATGTCTGGATCCCTTAGCTGACGATCCAGGCTGGCTAAGCCCCATCGCGACGCCGTCTTCGGAACGATCCCCTGGGTCTTTACTGGGCTCGCTGGCCCCGGTTGGCGCGTCAAGCCCGCCACGGGACCTTCTGGTCCCCAGACGGGCCCCCAGACCGAACCCCAACCTTTCCCAGAGACCGTCGTAGCTGGGTAAGTCAGCCCTCTGAGAGGAGGAAGGGTAGAAAAGGTGAGAGGGAGGATCGACGATAGTCAAAGCCTTGCATGCCCCAACAGTGCTGTCACACTGAAAATCGCTCTCATTAAAGCCAGGGTGCTGCTGAAACAGGGAGGGCGGACACCTAAAGCTCCGGGGGGATTGGAACTCGTCTATCCGAGTTGTCCTGTGGCCGCTGGGCATCCTCCTCATCGGAGTTCCCACGCCCAGGCGCCTTAAAACTCATGACATTAGTGCCGAGATCTACCTTGGAACCTAGCATCTCCTGAAGGCCTACTGGAAGCAAAGGGGGCGCGTCTTCCTGCAAAACGGCTAGCTCTACTATGCCTTCTTTGCCCTGGATTCCGGTCGGGGCCAGGGCCGCGTGCAAGATCCTAGTGCCACCTCCTGCTCCTCTGGCATTCTTGTTCCTAGACTCTACCAGAGGAATCTTCAGGCCTCGCTTTTTTCAGCCTCTGGGAATGCCGCTCGAATGCCTGGGCCCCAATCAGGCCCTGGCCGGCGGCGGTGCCCACTACTGCCTCTCCGGCCTCAGCCGTGAGCAGCACCATCGCCTGCGCGGCCCGGCCCCTCTCGATCTGATCCGTCTCCGACACGACAAGATCCAGTGCGTTCGCGAAGACTAAGCCTGTGACGTTCGTGATCCCTCCTGCGGCTGCACTGGCGCTGAGACTCTGGCCATTCCGCTTGGGACACTCGCGCGCCCAGTGGCCCTTCTCGTTGCGCTTCCTGCACCTGGTCTTCTTGATGAGCTCCGAGAGCGGAAGCCTGGTCTTCCCCTGACGGAAGGTGCCGTCCGCTCCCCTATGACCTCTATTCTCCCGCGAAGTCGACACCTTGACCGTCTCTTTCGTTCTGTCGAAGAACTTGCGGTCGACCTTCATCCTTCGTTCGAGCTCCCGGTTCTGCTTCCACGTTTTCCGTCTGTCCCCCTGCGTGCTAGCGAACACTGATGGGAGCTCGTCATCGTATAGGTTCAGGTTCTCGATGGCCAAGTAGATCTCAGCCTCTCCCTCAGTATTGAGGGACGATACATCGTCGTAGTCTACTACCATCGAGTCGTCGTCGTCGTCCTCCACGGAGTAGCTGGGCTCATTGTTCGTCCATTGTGATGTCCACGACGACGCCGCTCCTCGATCTGCATGATATGTGCGTGCCCTCTGGTGGGCAAGATGATCTTTCCTCGTCACGTCCATCTCTCGGATGGCTTTGAGAGCGTCCGGATACGAACCCTTCGTGGCCATGAGAACCTTCATCAGCTGCTGGCCACGTTCGTCGGGTCCCACGCCCTCTTCCAAGAACATAAACTTCCAGTCTTCGGGCACGGGCAGGCCCAATGTACCGACTTTGTCGAAGGCTAAGTCTATCCTCGCGGCGTACTCCGTCAGACCCTCGCCCTGGCGCCTCTCGAAGGAGAAGAGACACTCCCTCGCGGCTTTGCGCTTCTCGTCTCCAACGCGCTCGCCGCTCAGGAGGTCCAGACGGTCGATCACCGTCTGCGCGCCCTCCCACGACATGAGGACGTCGTCTGGGATGTCCCCCAGCTTCCTCTGGAGGTCCATGGGCAGCGCCTTCAGGATACGATCGGCGTGCTTGGTCTCTCCGACGTCCGTGCTCTGGCGCCACCTCATGATCTTCCGTCGCCACAGCTTGTACTCTGGCCATCCTGCCCATGGCTCGGGGTCCGCGAAGTCGCGGCCCCTCTCTTTCCAGTTCCAGCCGCCGTCCTCGGAGTCGTCCCACTTCCAATTGCCGCCGTTCTGGGCTTCGCTCCAACTCCAGCGGCCCTGCCACCAGCGGTCGTGGTCAGCTCGCTCGGGGGCCCTGCTGGACGCTGAGCCGGATGCGGCTCCGTCCCTGGCCCACGGGTCTGCACCATCTCGCTGCCATTCGTCCTCTCGGTGTGCCTTGCCCTCTGCTCGCCGTTCGTCCGCCTCTGGCTCTGGACTGGGCTGTTGAGCTTGGCTGCGCACCTAAGTTAGGATCTGCTTCAGCTGCGCTTCCGAGAGCGGGCTTGAGATGCGGTGCTGCTCCGCTGTCTGTTCAGGCTGTCGTGCACTCTCAAGCAGGCCTCGTAGTTGCTCTTCTGAGAGCCAAATGCGTCCGTCCTCGTCCGCCCATTGTCTCGCTGTCCCAATAGCCCTCGCCACTGGCCCTTGGCCACTCTGTCCGGATCCTCGGGATTGGTTATCAGCAATCTCCTCGTCCGCCGGCATCGGTCCGCAGAAAGTCGACTGAACGCCGGTCGTACCGACGCTCCGCTACCACTGTCTCCCCACGATGTCAGCTCAGGATGAGTTGCTGCCGCTTTTTCCGAGCCCGTCCGGTCAGCGTCCCAAGGCCACCAGCAGCCGCCAGCCAGGATATCAGAGGAAGGGTGGGATGAGATGAGGTGTACGGTGGATGGGCTGGAAGGTGAATGGGATTGACAGAGAGGGGCTGTGAGGGACGTACGGCTTCAGCCAAAATGGGTACGGACATCGCACCCCTCTCCGTATGTTCAAGCACATAGGCAAACGGTGGAGGACACAACTGCAAATCAATGAGCTGGAGGCGCTCATTCCCACAAGGGGGAGGAAGAGGAGGAGGAGGAGGAGGAGGAGACGGAGGAAGAGAAGGAGGAGGAGGAGGAGGAGCAGGAGACGAGGAGGAGGAGGGGGAGGGGGGGAGGGTGGAGGGGGAGGAGGAGGAGGAGGAGGAGAGGAGGAGGAGTGAGGAGGAGGAGGAGAGGACGAGGGAGGAGGAGGAGCAGGGGGGGGAGGAGGAGGGGGAGGAGGAGGAGGAGAGGAGGAGGAGGAGGAGGAGGAAGAGGAGGAGGAGGAGGAGGAGGAGGAGGAGGAGGAGGAGGAGGAAATGGAGGACGAGGAGGAGCAAGAGGAGGACGAGGAGGATGATGATGATGAGGAGGAGGAGGAGGAAAGGGTGAGGGGAAGGGGGGGAGGGGGAGAAGGAGGAGGAGGTGGAGGACGAATAATAATGCTGTTGGAATGCTGTGCGTCGGGATAAGTGTCCTACCTCAGACCTGGAAGAGACCGCCTCCCGACTCCAGGTAGTGCAGCAACTTGCTGAACGGCATCGAGACCGAGGCTTACTCCTGCTGCACGGCCTTGCCCTCCATGAAGTACTGAAACTCCTCTCCGGGTCCCCCGTCGACGATCTTCTCAATGGCCTCGTCACGGGCCTTCTCCACCGCCTCCAGCTGGGTCTGGAGGTGCGGGGCCGCCGCTCCTCTTCATTTCGAAGTCGAAGAGGTCGTATGTTCCTCGGTATCCATGGTGGCGCCCTTCTCGTCGCCCTCCGCGTGGTACTTGCTCTCCTTCTTCACCATGTCCTTGTCCTTCTTCTGGTCGCCGTCCTCGAGCTTCGTCTCCAGCTCGCGGCTGTCCTCGACGGAGCCTTGGCTGCTGCAGGCGGCTGCTCAGAGGGCTGCACCTGCACGGCGCCTGCCTCTCTGCCGCCGCTTCGCCTCCTTGCCATCCTTCGGCACGGCCTCCACTCCTTCACCAAAGAGCGCGTGCTCAGCCACGTTCCTGATGGCCGTGGTTTCACCCGTGATGCGCAACGACTCCTCGTCGTGCGCCGCGCGGGCCTGCGCCGCGATGACGGGCTTGATCATCCCGATCCTGGCCTCCACCTCCTCCAAGACCTCCTTCTCGTCGGCCTCCTGGGCGGATGCCGCGCGCCCCGCGCGCCACAAGGCGACCGCCGTGGCCGCTACCACATGGCGGGACCCGTCCGCGCGACCCACCGCGCCGAGCAGCGCCTCCGCCATCGCATCGGACATGGGAGGAGAGGTACCGTGACCAGCACAACCAGGGGCGGCAGGCTCTTGAGCCAACATGGCTTGAACCAAACTGGCTACGGAGGAGGATGGGGAGGAGGACGAGGAGAAGGTGCAGGAGGAGGAGGAGGAGGAGGAGGAGGAGGAGGAGAAGAAGAAGGGGGAGGAGGAGGACGAGGACGAGGACGAGGAGGAGGAGGAGGAGAAGGAGCAGGAGGAAGAGGAAGAGGAGGAGGCGGATGAGGAGGAGAAGGAGGGGGAGGAGGAGGAGGAGGAGGAGGAGGAGGAGTAGGAGGCGGACGAGGATGAGGCGAGGAGGGAGGAGGAGAGGAGGAGGAGAGGAGGGGAGAAAGAGGAGGAGGAAGGAGGAGGAGGAGGGGGAGAAGAGGAGGAGGAAGGAGGAGAAGGAGGAGGAGGAGGAGGAGGAGGAGGGGAGGAGGGGCAGGAGAGGAGGAGTGAGGGGAGGAGGAGGAGGAGGAGGAGGAGGAGGAGGAGGAGGAGGAGAGGAGGAGGAGGAGGAGGAGGAGGAGGAGGATGAGGGGGGGGGGGGAGGAGAGGAGGAGGAGGAGGAGGAGGAGGAGACGTTTGAGGAGGAGGGAGGAGGAGGAGGAGGAGAGGAGAGGAGTGAGGCAGGAGGAGGAGGAGGACGAGGAGAGGAGGAGGAGGAGAAGGAGGAGGAGGAGGAGGAGGAGGGACGACGACGAGGAGGACGAGGAGGAGGAGGAGGAGGAGGAGGGAGGAGGAGGAGGACGAGGAGGGCGAGGACGAGGACGAGGAGGAGGAGGAGGAGGAGGCGGAGGAGGAGGCCCGTGGCGCGCGGACCTCACAGCGCGTCCTGCAGCTCCTGGCGCCGCGGGGGCGCTCCGCAATTAGGCTGGGCGGGAGGAGACCGAGGGCGCGCCCTTCGCCCTCTCCGAGGTCGTCTGGGTCTGATGGCTGGTCCCTCCCTCCTCCAACCCCTCCACCTCCTCCTCCTACTCCTCCTACTCCTCCTCCTCCTCCGCCTTCCTCTTCCGCTTCCTCCGCATGCTCCTCTTCCTTTCCTGCTCCGCCTCCTCCTCCTACTCCTCCTCCTCCCCCTTCTTGCTCCTCTTCCCCCCCCCTCCTGCTCATTTTTCCTGCTCCCCCTCCTCTTCTTCCTCCTCCTCCTCCTCCTCCTCCAAGCCATCCCCCTCCCTCGTTTGTTTGCTTCGATGTGGCAACCCCAAGGCGCAAGCATATTCAGCGCTGAGGCTGGTGTCGCCAGTGGTGCTCGTCAGGCCTATCGTCGAACCAATCAGATCGTAAATCTACAGAACCGTTCCCTCCTCGCTTGCTCTGATTCTCCCGCCGAGTGTCTGGACTCCTCGCTCCCTCTTCATCGTCCTTCTCCTTCCCTCAATCCTCTCCTCCTCTTCATCGCCACCCTCATCGCTCCCTTCTCGTTTCCATCCTTCCATTCCTCCCCTCTTTCATCCCATTCCTCGCCCCCACCCTCTGATTATCCTCCCTACGCATCCCTCCTCCTGCTTCTCCTCTCCTTCCAATCCCTTGATCCCCTCCTTCGCTCCTCCCAACTCCCCTCCTCCCCCCTCTCCCCTTACTCACTCGTTCCTTCCTCCGTTTCTTTCCCTGCTTCCTGTACTTCAAACTCCCGCCCTTCCTCCTATGCAGCCTGATCCTCCTCCTCTTCCGCCTCCTCCTCCTCCTCCTCCTCCTCCTCCTCCTCCTCCTCCTCCTCCTCCTCCCATCCTCCTCCTCCTCCTCCTCCTCCTCCTCTTCGTCATCCTTCTCCTCCTTAGTCCTCCTCCTCATACTCCTCCTCCTCCTCCTCCTCCTCCTCCTCCCCCTCCCCTCCCCCTCCTCCCTCCTCCTCCTCCCTATTCCTCCTCCTCCTCCTCCTCCTCTCCTCAGCTCCTCCTCCTCCTCCTCCTTCCCTCCTCCTCCTCTCCCCTACCCCATCCTCCTCCTCCTCCTCCTGCAGATGATCTCTCCTCTCCTCCTCCTCCCCTCCTTCCTCCTCCCTCCTCACATTCTCCTCCTCCTCCTCGTACTCGTCCTCGTCCTCGTCCTCCTCCTCCTCAGATTATTAGTCTTCGTCTTCTTATTCTTAGGCTTCTTTGTATTTTTGTTAATATTATTATTCGTATTATTATTCGTCTTCTTCTTCTTTTTCTTCTTATTATTATTATTATTATTCCTCCTCCTCGTATTCCTCCTCCGTCTCCTCCCCATCCTCCTCCTCCTCCTCCTCCTCTTCCTCCTCCTCGTCCTCGTCCTCGTCCTCGTCCTCCTCCTCCTCCTCCTCCTCCTCCTCCTCCTCCTCGACCTCCTCCACAATTACTCAATATGAATACTACTCTCCCTCTTCCCCTGGTGGCGTCCCGGGAATATTCGCCCCCCCCCGCGTACTGTTTTTTACACACAGGATTCCCGGGAGTTGGGTTTTCGCATGCGTTTTTGTTCAAAATGCTGCTCTCGCTGAGGCGCCGGCCTCATTTCTGCTCCCGAATCGTTCCGAATCGTGCTCCCGCTGCAGCGTGGGCCTCATTTTCGGATCGGTGTTTTGCCTCCGTCGTTCAAAATGGCGTTCTCGCCCCAGCGCGGGCCTCTTTCTCGCGCGCCCATCCGCCCGCCACCACCGCGCCGCACCACGCCCCGCCCCGCCGCACGCACACCCACCGCCACTTCCACCCACCAACGCACGCACGCACGCACGCGCACCACCACCGCGCACCGCCACCACCACCGCACTACCCCATCCACCACCACCACCACCACGCTACACCGCGTCACACCACATCACACGCGCGCACACACAGACACACACGCACGCACGCACGCACGCACGCACGCACGCACGCACGCACGCACGCACGCACGCACGCACGCACGCACGCACGCACGCACGCACGCACGCACGCACGCACGCACGCACGCACGCACGCACCCACACACACACACACACACACACACACACACACACACACACACACACACACACACACACACACACACACACACACACCACCACCGCCACCACCACCACCGCCATCACGCACGTACGCACCTGGCCCACCACCAAACCACCAAGACGCCACACCACGTCACACCACAGCACACGCGCACACACGCACACACACATACACACCACCACCACAACAACCACAACCACGCACACACGCACGCACGCACGCGCACCACCACCCACTACGCACACGCGCGCGGAGCCACAGGTCCGCTACGACACGCGTCCGCGGATAGAGAAAATCAGCGCCATGGTAAGGGATGGGAGGGAGGGGTAGGATGTCAGATGTTGACGCGAGCGCACCTAACTTGTCCTCCTCCCCTCCCCTCCCCCTCCCTCCTCTCCTCCTCCTCCTCCTCCTTCTCCTCCTCCTCCTCCTCCTCCTCCTCCTCCTCCCCCTCCCCCTCCCCCTCACCCTCCTCCTCCTCCTCCTCCTCCTCCTCCTCCTCCTCCTCCTCCTCCTCCTCCGTCACTCCTTTCTCTTGAAGACAGCTCCTCCCTGCCGCACCCCCCGGCATGCCCGTGGGACGGCCTTGGCGTTCCGCCGGCGACTTCCTCACCGTGTATGATTCCGACACCCTGAAATTCGCAACAACGTTACGCGCGGAAGGCCAGCGGTCTTCAAAGTGCAGCTTTCGCTTTCGCGCCGTGCACGCGCGTCTTAGAAAGCTTGCAGCAATTTCACGCGTGAAGGGCGGGCGGTTTTGAAACAGTGGTTCGCCCCAGCGCCGTGCGCATGTGTCTTCAAAGCTTGCGGCAGTTTCACGGATAGAAGGCGGGCCGTTTTCAACATGTGGCTCTTGCCTTAGCGACGCGCGCGCTCGTCTTAAAAGTCTGCAGCAGATGCACGGATGGAGGACGGGTCCTTTCCAAAATGTGGCTGTCACTTCAGCGCCACGCGCATCCGTCTTAAAATTTGCAGCTGATTAGAATTCGAACGTACGGTTGAAATTCAAGTTGACAGGACCCCTCAGCCACGGTGATTCGCTGCGTTGAAGTAGCAGCAACGGTGTTCTTGCAATATTCCAGATTGTCACACCGCAACAGCCACTATGATTCGCGGCGCGCGGCGCTGAAGTCCCAGGAATGGTTTTTTGGCTTTTTGGCACGGTTGCGGATTGTCAAACGGTTTTCTTCCAATGGGGCACTTCCCCTAATCAAATCCGCCGACCCCCGCTTGCCAGGGGTGCAAAGGCTTGTGAGATGGTTGGCTGTCCCCCTCCCCCTTTTTCCCTCCCCTGGGGTCTGAACTCAAATGAGGGGGGGGGAACGGGTTCGCGAACGCCCCCCCGGCGCCTCCGGAGCCTCCAAACCACACCCGTGGCCTCCAGGATGCCCCAGATGCAATCTAAGCTGGCTCAAGCTGGGCTGGGACCCAACACGCCGAGGAGTCCCCAAAGACGACCAGGATGGCGGCGTAAGCCTCTTCAACAATGTTTGCAAGGACTTCCGAAGAGGGAGCTTGGAGGGATGGTTTATTGCAGCATCCTTAGCGCGTCTTGGGTTTACACTGGCCATTCTCCTCCCCGCCCATCTCTCTTCCTCAACTCTCTCCCCACGTTCCTCCCCTCTCCCCCGTCCCTCCCTCCCTCCCTCGCTGTCGCGCCGGTGCAGCAGCAGCGGGGGGACGCCCCCTGTTGTCCTTGAAGACCTCGTCCTCGAGGCTCACCTGCCGGCCAATGATCGGAGAGAGCGGATGTAAAAAGGTCCGGTGGGATCGGAGGGGGGAGTGGGGGATGAAGGGAGGGCGGGAGAGGGGGGGAGGGAGGGAGAATGGATGGAGGGAGGGGGAGGGATGGAGGAAGAGAGGGAGGGAGGGAGGGCGGGGGAGGGAGGACTGCGGGGGCCTGTGTCGGAGGGGGGAGCAGGGGGCAAGGGCGAAGGGGATTCCCAGGAGTTCCGCCATCCCGTAGGGATAAAAAAAGGCTGAGCTCGGTTGCCAGCTTTGGGAAAAAGTCCCTAGAAATCCGATCGAGGTACCCTCGTCGGGTCTTGGAGACAGGAATACTGCGCGGTTTGCCTGAGAACCTGAGCTGGGTCTGACCGTAACAACCGCATGTGCCGCAGTACCATATCTTCGAAGTGTGGTGATACACTAGGGCGTGTGAGGGGTCAACCCAGCCTCCAGCGTGATGCAACCGACGCCCTCGGGGCAGACGGGATAACCTACCATCCACGGGTTGGAGCTGGAAACACTCACTTTTTAGCCAGTCGGACAAACACGCTTTGATCGCCGAGCCTGTACACACGCTGCACAATCTCCCACTTTCGGTCAGGGCGTGCGCGGACGCGAAGCGTGCAACAGCTATAGGAGGAGGCGGGGGAACACGTGGGGCAGGCTTGGGCTGATCGGGATAGCGGCTGACTTGGGCAGCAGCAGTCGAATCAAGGCCTGCACGCAACAATCGTTTCCTGACCAGCCGAGCTTTGTTCTCAACACGGGCAATCCTGGCTCGATCGGCCTGGGGCGCTCTCGCTCGAAGGGCCGCCTCCTTGGCGAGCTCATCAACCACACAACTACCATGAATAAGCCAACTGGGCCACTGACGGACAGTGACCTCCTTCCCGTCAAGATGAGACGGGACCTGAATTATGGATATACAAGACGCGTCCCTCTGCTGACTGCAAAGGGTATTGGCAATGGACTTCCGCAAATCTGCCTGGGGCCCTGAGGGGGAGTGAAGCTGGCCTTCGTACCAGCCCCTCGCGACCTCTGCACAGTCTGTGACATACACAAGCGAGCCGACCGAAAATCTGATGGCCCAAGACAGGGCTTGAGACTCCGCGAGAGGTACCGTTTGGCTGGCCCCGACTCAGGGCCCGAGAAGATGGGGCCCAGGGGGATGGGTCCCCCAAAAACTGAAACATGCAATAGCGAGACCGATCCTACGGATGCGGCTGTCGTGAGTGTCGGCCCCTCCAAAGGCATCCCCGAACACTATTAAGGGGCTCCTCGGGGGTGCCCTCTGCAAGACACGCAGGCCCGACGAGGCCTTCATTTAAAAGGCCATTGCCGTCCCAGGACTCAATGGAGGGAGGAGGCGTGACAGCAGTCCAATGGGCGGGGCTGAGCCCCCTCATCCAAAAACATGGGTAGGCCTCAGAACTTGCGACCGCCTCTGGAAGCAAGTGCGCTGATTGTGCATATGCTGGCGTACTGTCATTTTCTGCACAAGTCCAACAACGGTGCAACGCCGTCTCGCGGCTGGTTTTGCAACGTTCACAGATATCGCTCGCACACAAGTTGGCATCGACACTCCGAGCCTTGGTCCAAAATCCACCTGTAGCGATCGAAACCATAAGCTCCGACAGTTGTCGACCTCGCTTTGCATGAGTGAGATCGTCCACAAGCTTACTATAGGAGTACATGCCAACTCCCTCCTCGAGCCCTGCTCCACAATAGAACTCTGCGGCCTGACGCCACTGCTTTAGCTCCATGGTGTGCTGCAGCTCGTCGAGCAGTGGGAATGTCTGGTCCAGGCTCGCGCACACAAGTTGGCATCGACACTCCAAGCCTTGGTCCAAAATCCACCGGTAGCGATCGAAACCATAAGCTCCGACAGTTGTCGACCTCGCTTTGCATGAGTGAGATCGTCCACAAGCTTACTATAGGAGTACATGCCAACTCCCTCCTCGAGCCCTGCTCCACAATAGAACTCTGCGGCCTGACGCCACTGCTTTAGCTCCATGGTGTGCTGCAGCTCGTCGAGCAGTGGGAATGTCTGGTCCAGGCTCGCGAACTCGGCGTCTCCGAATCTCCAAGAGAAGCCAGCTTGAACACCATCATTCGGCACATCCCACTCCACGGGCGAGACTGGAGTCCACCCCGCTTCCAGCAAGTACAGAACTACTGTGGACAGAGGCCCCCGAAAGTGTCGACTGCGCAACTTAGTCTTGATGCTCATCAGATGCCTGACCGTCGCCTGCCACGCCAAGGTGATCGACGGCCTGAGCTGCGGTTCCTCCAACCAAACCGATAGCCACAATGATACACATTGGCGTGGGGGAAGCGCACCTGGATCTGCGCCTGGTAGCCGCATGGCCAGGAGCGTGGTGAGGGATCGCCCTCTCTTGGACGACCCCGCCGCCGCTCTAAGGCGCCGTCGCTGCAGCTGCATGTTGGACCCGAACGCGCCGTAGACCTGGTGGCCGTATACCGCCGACGCCTGGGGGCCCGTGCGCTGCAGCTCGGCTGTGGCCTTCCACCGCCTAGCCACCTGGGCGAAGCGGCGAAGCCTGCCGTGAGCCGTGGCGGCCTTGGTGGCTCTCTTGCGCACCGTGGCCCTGCCCTGGCGGCGCCCCGCACTCAGATCCACGCCCAAGTACGCCGACTGAAGCACCGCTGACAGCCATACGCCACGCCTCCGAAGAACTTTAACTACTGCAAACCGCGTCGTAATGATGTGAGCATGTGACCACGCTCTTGGGGGATATGCCCAGGCCGAGGCTCCTGAATTCCCTGACAGTGGAAAGGATCCCCCTGCTGAGCGTGGTCCTGAAAGGACGAAGGGGGGAGGATGAGGGAGGACGGGGGCGAGGGATGCGGGAGGCAGTGAGGGAGGCGTGTGCGGCGAGCGAGCAGACAGGAGGGTCCGATGACGGAGGAGCGAGCAGGGAGGAAAGGGAGAGGAGGCAGGAGTGAGCGGAGGAGGTCGGCGGGAAAGAAGCGAGAGCGCACGTGAGGGAGGGCTGACGGAGGGAGGAAGCAAGGCAGACGAGGATGGGGACAGCACGTGGGCGGATGAAGAGGGGGGCGAGGAGGGAATGCTCACGACGAGCACCTCGCAAGATCATCGAACCACAAGAAACCCAGGGTACCCCGGAGGCAGGAAGGGCATGGGTCTCCGGGGGGACGCAGTGCTGAGCGGGGAGGGGGGGGCAGGAGGGAGGCGGGAGGAGGAAGAAGAGGGAGGAGGGATGACAAAGTAGGGAGAAGGACCGAGGAGGGAGCAGAAAGGTAATACGAGGGAGGGGTAGGGAAGGAGGACGGAGGATGAGGAGCGGGGAGAGGAGAGGGGAAGAGGCGAAGGATAAATGGATTGAGAACGCAAGTATGGGATGTTAGAGCAGCTGGAAAACGAATCGGGAAGGGATAACGTAGGAGGGCGGCGGGAGGAATGCGGATGTGCGGAGCAGGGTCGGGGAAGGAGGGGGAAAGAGTGTGGTGGCAGGGGGGGCAGTGAGGAGGGAGGATGGGGGGAGAGGGGGCGGGTAGGAGGGAGAAGGAAGAAGAGGGGGCGAAGGAGGGGGAGAGGTGATGGATGGGCGGGGCAGGACTGAGGGGGGCGGGCGAGGATATGCTGCGAGTGGGAAGAGGCTCAGGGCCATTGCGGCAATCCGTCTCTGCCTCGCCCTCTCCCGACCTCGCCCCTGCACCCCCTCCACCCCGCAGCCCCTCCCACGCCTCCCGATCGACCCTGGCCAGATCCTTGTTTACCCCCCCCCTCCTCCGTCTTCCCCTGTGCCATCCTCTTCCTCCCCGTGCGCCCCTCCCCTCCCCTCCCCCGTCCCCCGCTCCCTCTCCCCCCGCCCCCATGCCTTCCTTTTGGGCTCCGTCGCCCGTCTGGCCCTCAAGTCGAGGGGGGGGCAAGGTGGGGGAGGAGGACGGGGGGAGGAAGCCGCACGAAGCGCACTCATCCTCGCGCCCACCACTACAGGGGAACTAGGAACACAAGTGGCTGGGGCCAAAACCGACAAAGAGGTTAGCCTATCTGACATGTGTTGTGAGAGTACGCGGGCGAGCCGAGAATGTACACCATATTGAAAGGAATTTGCCGAACGCCGTGTAGGATAGCAGTCATCGTGTGACCATGAGGAACACCAAATGAGGAACTAAGCTGAATTTCTGGCTGCGGCGAGCCTCGGTCCCGAAGACGCCTCCCGAATTAGAAAAAAGGAACGACCCGAAAACCATAGCCCCTCTTAGGCCCAACGCTGTCTTTACACCAACGTCCTGGTTACAAGAGAGCAGCTCAAGTGGCCGAGCGCCTGTTCGACTTTCGAGGGCGCGGAACGCATCCGAGACAGGTCCACATTACCTCAAACCGAAGCTCTGTACAGGACGCGGGCTGGCGCGAGCACAGCCCCGAGCACGCGTCGCAGCTTGCTCGGTCCTGCTCCTCCCCATCCTCCTAGTCATCCTCCTGCTCGTCGTTATCCTTTTTTCCTCCTCACATGTCCTCCTCATCCTCCTCTGTCTCTTCCCTCATTCTCCTCTGCCTCCCTCTCCATCCATTGTTCGCATAATTAAGTGTTCGCACCCGCAGACGTGTCGGTAGGGCGGGCCGGGCGTTTGCCTGCGACTTCCTCACCGTTTATGATCTCGCAGCTTGACATTTGTAACAGCTTCACAGATGGGGAGCGGATCGTTTCAGAAATGTGGCCCTCGCGTCAGCATCGCGCCCACTTGTCTTGAAAGCTTGCAACAGCTTCAAGGGTAAAGATCGGGCCGTGAAAACATGTGGCTCTCGCCTTAGCGCCGCGCACATTCGTCTCAAATTTTGCAGCAGTTTCACGGATGGAGGGCGGGTCCTTCCCAAAGGCGGCTGTCGCCTTAGCGCCGCGCGCATTCGTCTCAAAAGTTTGCAACGGCTTCACGGAGGGAGGGCGAGCGGGTTTCAGAATGTGCCTCTCGCCTGAGCACCGCGCACATTCGTCTTAAAAGCTTGCAGCCGCTTCCAGGATTGAGGGCTGCTATTTATCAAAATGTGGTTCTCACCTTAGCGCCGTGCGCATTCGTCTTAAACGTTTGCAGTAGCTTCAAGGACTCGAAAAGCTGCAGCCCCCACTTCTGGCATGATTAAGAACAGTCGGGGCACAACAATCACGTCGATCCGCCGCGTTGAAGTCCCAGGAACGGTGTTTCGGCATTGTTTAGGATTGTCAAGACGCAGCTGACACGTTGACTCGCGACGCTGAGGTCCCAGGAATGGTGTGCTGGCACGATTGGGAATTGTGAGACGGTTGTCCTCAAATGAGGCATTTCCCGTAGAGACATCTTGTAGGGCCCCATGAAGACGGAGCGCGGAGGTAGAGTTAATTGCACCTCTTATCCTGATCTCCACTTTAGGGAATCGAGCTCTATACAACGACGCTTTTTCCGGTCCTGCATTGGAATTGGCACTGGAGAGCGGAGCCTGGTACCCTGGTGTATACATGTTTCGTTGTTTCCCTGGGACGTCGGGGGAAAAAGTATACACCACACCACCCCAGCGTCGTCCCCGATCCTCAAAAAGTCCTGGGATTGAAAAACAGCCCGCCACTGGTAATGTACATGTTCCAGTTTCCGACAATTATCCTGAGCTGGTGCGTTTTGAATTATCCTGAGCTCCAATGATCGCCCCTCCCCGTTATCCGTAGCACCCAAAACTAAAATTAATGATTCCAAAGAGGGGCGAAAGAATCCTCAGGAATCTTCCGGGATCCTTCAGGAATCTCTTTCGAACCTTCAAGAATCCTCAGGCATCCCCGGGGATACCCACGGATCCTCCAAAAGCCTTTTAAGAATCCGCAGGAACACATGAGGAATCCTTCAGGAACCCTCAAGGATCCTTCAGGAGTCCTCAGGAATCCTCGGGAACACACAGAATCGCAATGGAAATGGAACAACCCAAAGGGAAACTTCAGGGAACCTGAATGTTTCGTCCAGGGAAGTTAGGGAAGCGAGTAGGAGGATGTAGGTTCTAGCGGATGTAGAGTGGAGGGTGGGAGGATGCAGGAAGGAGGGAAAAGGAAGAGAAATCTTCAGGGGTCCTCAGGGATCTTCCAGGCATCCTGCAGGGACCCCAGGGGATCTTTCAGGATCGATAAGCATCCGCAGGAACCCACTGGAATCCTTCAGGAATCAATATGGTCGCGCAGCAACGCCAGCCAGGCGATGCGGAGCAACGCAGAGCAATGCAATCCGATGCGAAGCACCAACGCAGGTCAATGTCAATCAAGGCAGTAAAACACCCATGATCCCAATGCAACGCAAACCCCTGACCATATTCCAAGGCAACGCCAAACCTCCACCCATGCGGTTTCTATTTGCTACCCCTTGGCCTCGCATGGCTTGCCATCACCATCACCACCATCAGCATCATCACCACCACTACCATCACCATCACCACCACCACCATCACCAACACCATCACCATCACCATCACCATCACCATCACCATCACCATCACCATCATCATAATCAATAATCATAATCATAATCATCATCATCATCATCATCATCATCATCATCATCATCATCATCATCATCATCATCATCATCATCATCATCATCATCATCATCATCATCATCATCATCTCTATCATCATCACCAGCACCATCACCATGACCGTCTTCGTCGTCATCACAATCACAACCATCATCATCATCATCATCAACGTTATTATCATCATCAACATCATCGTCGTCATAGTCATCGTCACCGTCATCACCAGCATCATCATAATCATCAGCATCATCATCACCATCATCAGCATCAACATCAACATCAACATCGACATCGTCATCGTCATCGTCATCGCCACCGTCATCGTCATCATCCTCATCATCGTCATCGTCGTCGTCATCATCACCATAATCATAATCATCACCATCATCATTACCCCCATCACCACAATCATCATCACCATCACAATCACCACCACCACCACCATCATCATCAGCATCACCATCAGCATCAGCATCAGCATCAGCATCAGCATCAGCATCAGCATCAGCATCAGCATCAGCATCAGCAGCAGCAGCAGCAGCATCAGCATCAGCATCAGCATCAGCATCAGCATCAGCATCAGCATCATCATCATCATCGTCATCATCATCATCATCATCGTCATCATCATCATCATCATCATCATCAGCATCATCATCATCATCATCATCATCATCATCATCATCATCATCATCATCGCCATCACCATCAGCATCCCTGCCCCTCCTCCTCCTCCTCCTGCCCCTCCTCCCACTGCACTGCGTGGTGCTGCTCCTCCTCCCCCCCCTCCCTCGCCGCCGCCGTCGACGTCGTGTCAGTTCGGAGCGCCTGCCAGCGGCGGAACTCGAGGTTGCTGCCGAAGGCCCCCGCGGCGGCGGCGTCGCCGCGCCTCGCCGCCCGGCGGCGCTGGAACTCCTCGGCGAAGTGCAATCCAGGGGAGGAGGAGGAGGAGGAGGAGGAGGAGGAGGAGGAGGAGGACCAGGGAGAGGAGGAGGACCAGGGGGAGGAGGAGGAGGAGGAGGAGGAGGAGGAGGAGGAGGAGGAGGAGGAGGAGGAGGAGGAGGAGGAGGAGGGGGAAGGAGGAGGAGGCGAAGAGGGGGAGACCAAAGGGAACAGACACCGGAAGCGTAATTGACTAGTCTGGCTTGCCGTCCTGGAAGACTTCGGGGGCCCAAAACCGTGCTGTGACGGACCGCGCGGTGATCACGAAATCCCGGGAGACCTCTGCGCGCGGTCCGTCACCGCACAGTCTTGGTACCTCAAAGGCCCTGGTCGCCCGAGACGTCCTCGACGAACGACCCGAGTCCCAAAACCGTGTGATGACCCCGAATCCACACTGACTCACCACGCGGTGTGGTCACCACACCGTTCGGGCCCCTTTAAAAGACGAGGCCAAGGCAAAGACAAAATCAGATCGGGATGACTCGGGAATCCATGAGATCCGGCGGTTCTGGACGATGCACCGGGCGCCGCAACCGTTTCAGAGCTGCAAGAACGCTCTGGAGCGATTTATCCAGGTCCTACAGGTGTCGGAAACAATTGAGCAACACTCACGCATAACATATGGTGTGAACTCCCCCCCCAATGCAATGTTGGGCTCGGATCTCCCGAGTTGGAGTGTCGGACCAGTGATGCGTACGCGCCAACTTTGAATTGCGGGGGGAGGGGGGAGTGTTGCGTAATTTTTGTAACCGTACGTAGCCCTGCCCGATTATCCTCCAAAGCTTTCTGCTTCTCCCCTTTGCAGCGTGCCTGCGAACACCGGAGTGGCGCACATCAGCGCACAGCGTGCCTGCGAGCACCCGAGCACCGCCAATGCTTCTGCGGGCACCATCACAGCTCATGAGCGCCGAGACGTGCCTTGTGAGCACCAAAGCAGGGCTGAACCTAAACGTTGTTTTTCGTTTTGTTTTCGTTTTGCTCTACCTGTTTTCTTGTACCTCCCTGCCAAAACGAAAAACAAAAACACAGCCGAAGTCCAGTAAAACAGCGTTTAGGTCCAGCCCCTGCCTTTGAAGTCCATAGTTTGATCGGTGTTGCGAAGCAATGGTGCGCGCAGGAGCTGCGACCGCACCTTGATGCGAGGCTTCTGTGCAAAACGAGCGCGCTGCGGCAGTGCCCAGGGCGCGCTGCGCGGGGGAAAGGGGCAGTGCCGGAGGACGCTCTGAAGGGGTTGATGGGGCGGGGGGGGGCGGGCCGGGGTCATAACGCTCGAAATGGCTCAGCCAGCTAAAAACACGCTCAAGGCATCCCCGTCCCGCGGCCTCTCCTAGACGAGATTCGGCACTGGCAGATTCGCCAAAAAACGGTAGGTCGCGTGGCCCAATGGCATCCCCAGAGCATTCAGAAGCATCAGCGGCGCCAGACGCGGTTCAATCTTGAGCCTTCCACCTTCGTTCCCTCCCGTCGCCTCCTTCTCCATGAAGAAAGAATCATACATGTCATGAGTAATATAACGGAAACACTTGGATCCGATGACTACAAACCCGTGCACCTACGATGAGCTGAAAAGGTGAAGGCGATTTGAGATACACGTAGATCATTACCTACACGACCACCCTTCGGGTGATAAGGAGGTTGTGGGGGGGAGAGAAGGGGGGGAACCAACATCTGACTCAATCGATCTCACTATCGAGCTCACTCAACGGGACACCACGGGACACTTGTCGATGCGATCTCACTCAATGGGACACCACGGGACACCACGGGACACCGCGGGACACCTCTCGATCTCACTATCGGTCTCACTATCGATATCATTATCGATCTCGCTTTCGATATCACTATTCATCTCACTATCGATTCCATTATCGCTCCCGCTATCGATCCCACACGATCAATCTCACCATCGATCTCAGTATCGACTACACTATCGATATCACGATCGATCTCACTATAGATCTTACTATCGATCTCTCATTATAGATCTCACTATAGATCACACTATCGGTCTCATTATCGATCTCAGTCGATCTCACCACGGGACATCACGGGACAACGGCGGGACACCAGCGGGACACCAGCGGGACACCGGCGGGACACCGCGCGCCACCGGTTGCCGGGCGGAGAACCTTTTGGTCCGACCGCGGCCCAGCCACGACGGGACACCGGCGGGACACCAGCGGGACACCGGCGGGACACCGCGCGCCACTGGTTGCCTGGCAGAGAACCTTTTGGTCCAGCCGCGGCCCAGCCACAGGAGAATTTCCTCTCCCCCGCACACGCAGCTTCGCCTCGCCCGCACGCACGGCACGAACACAAAACCGAAATCGATTTCCAGGTAGGGGGGCTCTCCGTTCCACTTCGATCTCGCCCCCCAACCTCAGACTGGATCGCTCTCTCAGAGCTACTAAGGCTTCAGGTCAGGAGTCGGTAGCGCCAGGTGGCCCTGAAGCTCTTTCCAGCACCGCTCCAGAATCCCCGCATCGCCTTGCTTGAGTTCGCAGCGTGTCCCGAGAAGCGTTTTCCTACTCGTTCCCAATACGCGTGACGGAAGCCTTTCCGCAGCTCTTTGGGAGCTCCTGCGAAGCTCTTTTCTCGAGCTTGCAAGCCTCTCAGGCATCCTTGCTAGCGTCCTTGCAAGGATCCACAACAAGCGTTTCACGCGCTTGGGACTGCCCCGCCACCCGGATTTTGGACGCCACAAGTCGACCGAACACTTATATCCACCTTCGGGCACATGTGGATGAAGGAGGACGGTAGGGGTGTACAGTGGAAGCCAGTCCACAAGAAACCTTCCACGAGAAACACTGCCCTGAGACCCCACGACGTCCATCGATTCTTGGTGCGGGAACGTCACGCGTTCCATGGCAAAACCATCAAAACCCAAGAAAACCAGGGCACCCTGGTGGCAAAAAGGGTGTTTCTTAGCATGGGCCTCCGCGGTACCAGATCGGGGGGAAACATATCGATGTGGAATCGGCGACACATCGCAGATCCATCGGCCATGGGCCCCGCTTGGCGACTCCGGGCGCTCCTGGGCAAGCTGGGCTAGCGGGCCCCTGTCGGCGATGAATGGGCGATGAGTGGTCGACGCACCCCCCCCTGGAGCCAATGATGGGCCAATCCTCCACCACCACTACCATAGGTAGGCCAGAGGAGAGGGGAGGATGGGGAGCTCCTCCTCATCCTCCTCCTCCTCCTCCTCCTCCCTCTCCTGCATCGGCCAACTCCCTCCTACCGTTGCCCCCTGTCTTTCAAGTCGTAACTCGGCTCTCCACCACGCTCGGGGCGGCTCGGGCACCCCCGGAGCGCTCTCGGCGAGGCGCAGCCCCTGGAACGCCCTCGGCTCTGGGCACGCCTTGCAATGTGGCGCCTCCCGCCTCTGCGCGGGGGGGGGGGGGGGGGGCGAAAGTGGCTTGGAGCGCCACCCATTGGTGGTGGCGTAATTAAGTGACAAGCGCGGCAGACATGTTGCGCTTCGGCTGTGTCGAGGAGGAGGAGGCGGCGGCGGCGGAGCAGGAGGAGGAGGAGGAGGAGGAGGAGGAGGAGGAGGAGGAGGAGGGAGGAGGAGAGAAGGGAGGAGGGAGGAGGAGGAGCAGGAGGAGGAGGAGGAGGAGGAGATGGTGGGCACACAACGCAGTGATAATGACAAGACTGCCCACCTGCGCTCGAAGGCAGGCGGCAGGCAGCACCTTGGGGCGAACCAGGGGGGGGGGGCTGCGCGAGAGGAACTCGGTCCCTCTCGCGCTAAGCAACACGGGCTGCTGCAACGGGGGTGGGTGGGGACTCGGGCGCTATTATGGTATCTACTGGGTGGGTGGGTGGGTGGGTGGGTGGGTGGGTGGGTTGGAGGCCACATACAGTCGGACTTGATTGGACAGGACACGCGAGAGGACACAAGACCCTTCCGAGGGCCACATTTGCTGCAGGAATGCGAGAGGCAGGGGTCGCGAGACACAGGACACAAGTGCACCCTTGATTCGGCAGGGTCGACCTACTCATCAGAGGCGACTGTATGTGTTCGAATAAAAAAACTGCAGCTCCTGCTCACCTTCAGGCGAGAACGCAAGCGGCAGTCAGCACACCCTGTGGCGAGCCAGGGGGCAGCGCGGGAAAGAAAGGCCGCTCGAGCCCAAAGGGCCACGGCGAGAGAGGGGAGGAGGGGCATGATGTCGAGGGGGACGAGGCGGAGGAGCATCGGTTTCAGAGAGCGGGGCCCTGAGGACTGGGGCCCTGGTGGCGAATGCCCCCGGACAATACGCATTAAATCTGGGCACCCCTCCTATCCGTAGGGCCATCCCTCGGGCCCCCATCTTCGAAACGTCGAGAGGGAGATGATGATGAGGAGGAAAAGGAGGAGGAAGAGGAGGTGACACGGTCCGCAGCTTCGAGCTTCGAGGAGGAGGAGGCGGAGGAGGAGGAGGTATCGGTGACACGGTCCACAGCTTCGAGCTTCGAGCTTCGAGGATGAGGAGGATGAGGAGGAGGTGGTAGCTGGCCTGAAAGGCGGGCCAGAGGCACCAGAAGATCTGATCATCGGAGGGCTGCGACTCAGTGTCCGGGCCCTGATGAGCAGTGCGCTCACCTGTGCTCTTACCCTGGGAAGACCCTCTGCGCCGATGCCAATGAGGAGGCCATCACCGACGCCCGAGAGGCAACGCCTGGGACCCGATCGGCAGCCCCAGGGTCAGGCGGGCACGCGGGGCCTGAAAACTGGAGCTCGACCAACTTCTCGAGCACACGCAAACCCAACGGGCCAGGAAGGCCGAGGACCAGGTTCTAGGTCGAGGCCCTGGACTGGGGGTGCTTCCCCCTTCGAACTCTGCTCGACTGACTCTTGATGCCAGCACTCGCAGGCTGACCCTTCCACCGCTCTCGCATTGAATGCCCTGCATTGCCGTCCGAGCTGTAGGCTCCGAATATAATGCAAACCAATAGGGAGGACCTCTCGCGCGAGGGCATCTCAACAGCACAACACACAAGGCAGGAGGAGGAGGGGGAGGAGCGGGAGGAGGAGGAGGAGGAGGAGGAGGAGGAGGAGGAGGAGGGGGAGGAGGAGGCAGAGGAGGGGAGAGGACGACGGCGACCACGACGCCGGGGGCTTCCCCCCTCGCTTCGGTCTTCCCGGCGCGTGCCTCCAGCGCCGTGCTGTGCTTCTCGCGGACGCCCGCCTCGGGAGCGGCCGGGGCGCGCGGCGCGGGCACTTCGGCACTCCAGGGCCCCACTCCGAGTGTTTGCCATACGTGTTGTGCAGTGTACGTGGCGCAGCAGGTGCGTACAGTATTTGTGGTGCAGTACGCGTGGCGCAGTGTATGTGCCTCGATCTATGTTGTGCAGTATAGGTTGTGCGATATATGTGATGCCATCTATGCTGCGCAATCTATGTGGCACAAACTACACGCATGATATCTTTAGTGCAGTACATGTCATGCGATATATGTGGTGCGATCGATGTTGAGCAAGACGTGCGCTGCGATCTATGCTGTACAATATACGTGGTGCGTCGTGCAATCTATGTGGTGCAATATATGCGGTGCAGTATAGGTGAAGCAGCTTGCATGCTGCAATTTATGTGAAGCATTAACTGCGGCGCAATCTATGTGATGCAACATAAGTGGTGGTGCGATCTACGATGTGCAGTCGATGTTGTGCAATCCAGGTTGTGCAGCATATGTGGCGCTATTTATGTGGTGCACTCTGTGTGGTGCAATCTATGTGGAGCCATATATTTGATGCAGTCTATGTGGTCCCATATATACATGTATGCAATGCAATGTATGCGGTGCAAACAAATTGCAAAACAATGCTGCGATTGCACCCCTTCCATTGCAATCCAATGCCATGCAACGAAAGCATTGCAAAGCGATGCAAAACGATGCTCCGAAATGCAAGACAATAGAAAAACAATGCAAAGCAATGCAATCCCAGACGACGGGCGGCGACGATGCGGCGACGGGCTGGAGGCGATGGGGACCACGGAGCCAGACCGACGGTCAGACCCAGACGTCAGGCGGCGACGAGGCGGCGACAATGCGGCGACGGTGACCACGGAGCCACCAGACCGCCACGCAAGCCCAGATGACGGGCGGCGACGAGGCGGCAGGGCGGCGACGGCGACCACGGAGCCGCCCAACCGCCACGCAGACCCAGACGACGGGCGGCAAAGAGGTGGCGACGGGGCGGCGACGGCGAACACGGAGCCGTCAGACCGCCACGCAGGCCCATCTCCTTAGAAGACGACTAAGAACCCCTAAGTGCAAGCACTGTTTGGGGAATGTGTAGGTCTATATATATAGCTATATCTATATCTATATCTATAGCTGTATCTATTTCTATATCTCTATATATATGTATATATATATATATATATATATATATATATATATATACATATCGCAAATGGGAGGCAAGCATTATGAGTGTTCCTTGGCTTTCGGTGCAATTTTCGTACGCTCGGCCTCTGCCTCCAGAGCGCCCGAGACAGCCGAAGAGGCCCCCGAGATCGCTCCAAGATGGCTCAAGAGGGCCCCAAATCGAGCCCAGGACGGCTCCAAGACGCTCCAAGAGGGCACCCGGAGGAGCTCCAGGCGGCCACGAGGGCCCCAAGACGGCCCGGGAGGGCCCCAAGACGGCCTGATAACGGCCTCAAGAGACCCCGAAGAGGGCCCACTCGGAACCCTGCAATAGTACGGCGACGGTCAGAACATCTCTCTCTCTCTATATATACATACATGCATGCATACATACATACATACATACATACTCACACATATATATATAGAGAGGTACACTGGAATGTATGTATGTATGCATGGATGCACCTATTTGGATGACATGTCTATATATATACATATGTATATATATAAATAATTGAATAAATGAATATATATACATATATATGCATGTATACATCTATACACGTATTCAGATCCATATCTATACATATATATATATATACATATATATATGTATAGATATATGGGTATATCCATGCGAATATATATATATATATATATATATATATATATATATATATGCACACGTGCACGCGTGCATAGGTTTACGTGCACATACACGAATGGATCTAAGCATACAGACAAGACATGTACATGCACGCATATATTTATGTATAGACATCGGTACACACATATATATATATATATATGTATACACATAGATGCTATGTGTGTGATATACGTATATATGTCGGTGCAAATATACATATATATAATATGTAAGGATATGCATACACATATACACAGTTATGACGCTATTCATGGCTGTATATGGATAGATAGTGGCACCCGTATACACATACTGTATAAACCACACACATATACATAGTGATAGGCATGCCCATGTACATATAATTATATGTGGATGTCTGCGTCGATATATATATATATATATATATATATATGTATACACATATATACATATATATACATATATACATATATACATAGATACATATATATATATGTATATGTATCGGAGGTGAGGGGGTGAGATCGAAGTGGAACGGAGAGCCCCCCTACCGGGAAATCGATTTCGGTTTCGTGTTCGTGCGTGCCGTGCGGGCGAGGCGAAGCTGCGTGGGCGGGCGAGAAAAAGTCTCCTGTGGCTGAGGCGCGGCCGGACCAAATGTCTCCCTTCCGGGCGGCCGGTGGCCCGCGGTGTCCCGCCGGTGTCCCGCTGGTGTCCCGTGTGGCTGAGGCGCGGCCGGACCAAATGTCTCCCTTCGGGCGGCCGGCCCGGTGTCCCGCCGGTGTCCCGCGGTGTCCCGCGGTGTCCCGCGGTGCCCCGCGGTGTCCCGCGGGCCCGCGATGATGATGATGATGATGATGATGATGATGATGATGATGATGATGATGATGATGATGATGATGATGATGAGATGATGAGATGATGATGATGATGATGATGATGATGATGATGATGATGGTGATGCTGATGATGATGCTGCTGATGATGATGACGATGATGATGATGGTGATGCTGATGATGATGATGATGACGACGATGATGATGATGATGATATGATGATGATGGTGTCCCGATGATGATGATGATGATGATGATGATGAAATCGATGATGATGATGATGATGATGACAATGATGATGATGATGCTGATGGTGTCCCGATGATGAGGATGATGATGCTCATGATGATTATGTTGATGATCATGATGATGACGATGATGGTGTCCCGATGATGATGAGTATGATGATGTTGATGTTGATGATGCTGATGAAGATTGTGTCCCGATGATGATGATGTTGATGAAGATGAGGTTGATGATGATTATGGCGTCCCGATGATGATGATTATTCTGATGGTGATGATGATGATGTTGATGATGATGGCGACCCGATAGTAATGATGATGATGATGATGATTGTGATGATGATGATGATGATGTTGATGCTGATGTTTGTAATGATGATGATGGTGCCCCAATGATGACGATGATGATGATGAAGCTGATGATGATGTTGATGATGCTGATGATGATGATGTCGATGATGAGGATGAGATGGTGATGATGGCGTCCCGATGATGATGATGATGATGATGCTGATGATGATGATAACGATGGTGATCATGATGGTGTCCCGATGATGATGCTGTTGCTGATGATGATGATGACGATGACTGTGTCCCGATTATGCTGTTGATGATGATGTTGATGATGATGATGATGATGATGATGATGATGATTGTGATGACGGTGATGATGATGATGGTGGTGTCCCGATGATGTTGATGACCGTGATGATGATGATGTTGGTGTTGATGATGAGGACGGTGATGATGTTGGTGATGATGATGTTGATGTTGATGTTGTTGTTGATGATGATGATGACGTTGATTGTGAGAGCGGTTGTGATATCGATAGTGAGATCGATAGTGAGACCGAATGTGATACCGATTGTGAGATCGATTGTGAGATCGATAGTCAGATCAATTGTGAGATAGATCGAGTGAGATCGATTGTGAGATCGATGGAGGGAGATCGATCGAGCGAGACCGATACTGAGATCGATAGTGAGATCGATAGTGAGACCGATCGAGTGAGACGTTGGTTCCTCCCCCCCCGAACCTCCTTATCACCCGAAGGGTGGTCGTATAGGTACACACATATGTATATATGTATGTGTGTACATGTATAAAAAGGGACGGGTAAACATATTTAGAGGTACCACAAACTAAACTCACTATGAGGAGAGAGGCATGAAGGCGAGGAAAGAGAAGGGATGGAAGAAGGGTGAGGAGGACGAGGAGGCGAGGATGAGCAGATAATGAACGAATGTATGCGCATCATGGTCCATGTTGTCACAATCGCAGCTTCTATGCGGATGAGGAGGAAACGAGGAGACAGATGAGAAGAAGCGGCCAACGGCTCGACTAAACCCTGGACCACTGCGGATGAACAACCAATGATGCACGGCCGATTGGCGGCCACAACGCAGCAATTGTCACACATACCGTCCTGGTCCTCCCCCGTCCATCTACCATTGTTCCTCCGTTTCCCGTTCCCTCACTCCTCCCCCTCTTCTCCCCCTCCGCCTCCATCCTCCTCCTCCTCGTACTCCCCCGCCCCCTACTTTTTTGTTCGCCTCCACCTGCTCCTGTCCCTCTTGGTGGCGCTGCTTCTGACCAACCTTCACTCTTGTCCTTCTCGTCCAGCAATGCTCGTTCGCCCCTGCCGTCAGCGCACCTCGTACTCGGAGAACGACTCCGTCTCGATGATGTTACCCTTCGGGCGGGGAGGAGGATGGAAAGACGAGGAACATGGGGAGGGAGGAGGGAAAGCGGAATGAAGGGGGGAATAGTGGTGAGGGGGGGGAGGGGGCGCAGGACAAGGGGGCAACGGCGCGGGATGGGAGGGAAGGAAAAAAGGAAGGGGGATGAATAGGACGAGGGCGGCGAAGAGAGGAAGAATGGGCCATCCTTCCTATCCGCGCGTCCATCATCATGGACGCGCGGATAGGGGATAGTCGTGTGCGTCGTTGCCTTTTGGCAAGCCTAACGAATATCTCTGCCCGTATGCGTATTGCGGTCCATGCGAACGAGTGGTGAAAAAGGAGCGAGCGGGTAACATTGGCGATACTGATCAGGAGCACAGACATGCAACTACGGATGCGGACGCGACTGGCACGCTCGCGCACATGAAACATATTCCAGGTAAGATGGGGCACACGGCGCGCGCGATCAAGAGGAAACGGAGGCGAAATAAACGAACAACGGCAACATGGTGGCTGCGCGCAGGTGGCGAATGCGAGCGGGGACCGCAACGCGCGCGCGATCGCGACAAACGAATAGGAACCGCTTGGGACGAGGCACGCTTCGTGTATGACTGGAGAGGCACGATTGCGCAGGAAAGTGAATCACCCATAACAGCGATGTGATGGGCCTGTTTTCCACCACAACCACCATAAGTTGGAGGGGGAAGGGGTCCTCCTCTTCCTCCTCATCCTCAATCATTTTCTTCCTCCTCCTCCTCCTCCACCTCCCTCCCCCCCCCAACTTATGGTGGCGGTGGTGGAAAGAAGGCCCATCAACGATGAGTCCTCGGGCCCAGCGCCCACGACGCCCGAGGTTCCGCGTCGAGCCCGCCCCGCCCGCCTGCGCAGAAGGCTGCGCCGTTTCCGCCCCCGCTCGCGCCGCAGAGCCCTCTCCCGCTGCACCGAAGGCAGGTGGGGCGCGCGAGCGGCGGGCCATTATCCGGCTTGTACCTCTCGCGCGGGGTGGTGATCTCAAGCGCGCGTCGTGCCACATGCGTCCGTAGGGGGCTGGCGCGCGCGCGTTGCCCGCGGGGGGGGCGCCGCGTGGACATGCAAAAGCGAATCGCGCGCTGCCGGCAGCGCGCAAGAGGGGCGCAGGTATCCAACGCCGCGCAATCTCACGGAGCCAAGCAGGTGAGCGTTTTCTTCTGATTCGGGCGACATTTGGCGGAAAGGGGGGGGGGGGGCTGGCTCCAGACTTTTGCTCAGTGCGGCCGTTTGGAGCCGCGCGTCCCCTCGGGGAGACCCCAGCTGCTCGAAACAGGCGGCGGGAAACAGCCCAGATCCACTCCACAGGGGGGGGGTGGGGGCGAGGACCCTGGCCGATCGACAAGATAACGAATAACAAAAACGAGCACCAGGCCCTCCTTGCCCGCGGGGCGTGCTCCTTCTTCACGCGGGTGAACGACGACGCGGCGCGCCAGGCCGCCGCTTGGCCAGCGGGCGGGCAAACTGTCCCGTGCGCGGTCGTCGAACAGGCGCTCGCCGCGCTGGGCGACGCCGCCGATCACGGCGCGGCGCTTGCGGCGATCCTAATCGCGTTTATAGAAGACGGCTTCTGCCGCTTCTGTTGGCGGCGCGCGCGAGGGGGGCAGGGGGGGTGGAGGGCGTTTCTTGGGGGGGGGTTCTTCTTAGAAGGCGCCGGCCTTACATCTGCAGACAAGGCCCGCGCCTTCAAATAATCGAGGGCGCGCAAACAAGGGTCGGCGATCCACGGGTCTGGCGCGCAGTCGCTAGATCCATGGATCGGGGGAGGTGCCCCCCCCAAAGCGCTGCCAAGCTGAGCCCCCCCAAAGGAGCCGCGGCAAATTCAAAATGGGAAAATTTCCAACGCGCTGCTCTCCTCAAGCTGGACCGCAGGGAATCACCTCGGAACGCCCGCGCGCCATCGAACAGCCGCGCGCCGCCTGCCCCCGCCATTGAACCGCGCCGGGCGAGCCGCGGGGGCGCGACCAACGCGGCCCCCGAACCAGGCCGCCACGTAACCGCCATGGAACTCATCGCCGCGATGACGCTTCATTCCGCAACCGTCGGGCATAGCGCCCGCGCGAATTTTGGGCGCGAGCGGCCGTCGAAGCGCAGACGGAATCGGCGCGCGCGCAGCTGTCGAAAGGCCAGGTGCTGCCCCGGCCGCGCGGCCGATAGCTTGCGCGGGAGAAACACCTCCAAGCTGATTCACGATGGAACGCACCGGCGCGGGACGGACGGACCGCAAGAAAGGGCCACTTTGGAGAACACGCGCGAAAAAGTAACCCTCGAGCGCGAGCGCCGCGCGGGGAATTGGCGGGGCGCCGGAGGCGTTTGGATCTCGCGCCCGCGCAAGTTGAGCAAACTCCGCTTCTGGGGAGTAGCGCTCGTGGGGCCCGCAGCGGGCGCGGGGGCCGCTGGCGCGGACTCTGCCGCGGCCGCGGCGAGGCCCCGCCGCTCTCCCCTGGGGGCCGCGGCGCGCGGCTGCGCTGGTGGCGGAGAAGAGGGGCCCGACGGCAAACGTCGGCTTCGAAGCCTCAACGGCCGGCCGCGGGCGCGGCGGCGCAATCGCGAACCCGCCGCGCGAGGCAGCGCAGCCCGCTGCGATCATCTTCTCCAACCGAGCGGGGGTCCCCGGGAGCCCCTGGCCCCCTCCGCGACCCCCCCGCCGCCTTTCCGCGGCGCCCTGTTCCCCCCCTTGTTTGGCCACGGTTTTGGACACTGTTTGCGCGCTTGTTTGGCCTGCCTTTCGCGGGGGCGCACTTTTTTGACCGCGATTTTTCTCGCAATCAGATCAATGAGAAAAAACAAAACGTGTTCAAAATCGCGGGTGGTTTCGTGGGGCCCTGCAAAGGGGCGCGGAATCGTGGCCGAAAATCGCGGGCAAAATCGTGTCCGAAATCGTGGGCAAAATCGTGTCCGAAATCGTGGGCGAAATCACGCTGCCGAAATCGCGGGCGCAGAATCGCGGGCCTGCCCGGCGCGCCGGCACGCCAAGCAGGCGCGCCCGCGCAACATCGGCGACGAGGGGAAAAAACAACAACAACAAAAACAATGGGGAAGAGGAGGGAGCGGCAGCAGCGGCAGGAAGGCCAGCAGCAGCAGCGGGAAAAGGGAAGAATGGGAAGCAGCAGCAGGAGAGAAGGAAAGGAGGAGTCATCGAAATTGGCCCGCCCGTTCGTCGCGCGCCCCACAGCGCACTGGACATGCGCCTCGGGGGAAACTCGCCAGCCCAACGGGCCAGAGGCGCGCGGAGATCGCCGGCGACTGCCTCGCGGCGCGCGGGGCGGCCCAGAGGGGCCCCCGGGCGCAAAGTGCCCCGGCCGCGTCGGGCCAGAGATGGCTCTTCTCCTGGGCGCGGCTTTCAGGCGCCCCAGAGCAGTGCAAACGGGCCCCAAGAGGCGCTCCGGACGGTCCAAGAGGGTTCTGAGTCGCCGAACGATCGGCCCGCGACACCCGCGACGGCTTCCAGACGGCCCACGACGCGCACGAGACCCCCGAAGAGGCCGCCGCGAGCTGAAACGACACCCGAAAACGCGAAAAATGGTGGCAGAGAGACGAGGCGGAAACAGACCGGGGGCGACACCGCTCGAATGACGCGTCGAAGCGAGATCGCGCGCACGCCGCGCGCCGAATGCCCAATGTCGGAGCGGGTCGGCGGCGCGACAACTTCTGAACAAAGAAAAAGCGAAACAACTTCGAAATATAAATTTATATGCTTCGGAAAAACACACAAACACAATCGTTGCACTGGTCCGCTCGGGGGGCGCAACTCCATGACAAGCGCGTCCGGTGCCGCCCCTCCCGGCGGCGGAAATCCACGATTTCCAATGGAAACAAGACCGTCGCTAATCCGCGCGCCCTTGATCCATGTTTGCGATCGCCTGATTGCATCTGGAGACAAGGCCCGCGCCTTCTAAGAAGCAGGGGTGCCCCCTGCCCCCTTCTGCGCGTGGTCGACCTCCCCTGAGTCCCATTCCGCTCATCCCCTCCCTTGCTCCTCGACCCGTCGCCCCTGCCTCTCCCCCCCCCCCCCGCCCTCACCCGCCCCCCCCATCCTCCTTCACTCATTCATGGGCATTGAGAGGTCGGCCAATTTCAAGCTCGCCTGACCTCTGGCAGAAAAATTAATCGAAGACGTCCGAACCTGGAAAATAAAACAGGCCTGGGTGGGAGGGGCCGAAACCGCTTCCTGGGCCCCATCCTCTCTCCCTCCACTGGCCGAGGGACCCTGAGACATTGCCGAGGGCCCCCAAGCAAAGAGATACCTCGCGGCCTCCGCCTCCGCCTCGAAGGCGTCGATGAGCTCGGCGCCCTGCAGCCCTGAGGGTGGCGAGGGCGCGGTGGCTCACCTTCGGCTTGGACCGACAACGACTGGGGGCGCGGGGCCGGCACTGGTCCGCCTGCGGCGGGAACGTCTGTCCTCGCCCCACCCGGCTCACCGCCCAAGCCCCTCCACCACTGGGCAGCTCCATGGATCACTCTCTAACGGCGCGTGAGACGGGTACCTTTTGGCCAAGGCAATGTGCCTCGACTGAAACAGCGAACCTAAGCGTCTTTGACACTGATGCAGGGCCCAAGGAGATGCTCGGGCGCGCGGGTGCAGTAGGAACCGCGCCTGGAACAGTGAAGGAAAGGGATGCCAGAATAGACAATTTTGCACGCCCACATCTTGTGTCCTGGCGCGGGTAGATCAGACCCCTCGCACCTGGGCCCCGAAAGTGGGAGGGAGGGCTGCGCGCCGATTTACGCGAGATGGGGGCGCCCTGGGACTCTCGGCGCACGCTAAACACTGCCGAAGGCGACCATTCCACAACATATGATGTTGCCTTTGGTTTTGGTGGTGGCCTTAAACCCTTAGACTCCCCTTCGAGCGTGCCACGCAACTCTCCGGCAAGGGGCCGAGTTTTAAAATGGCAGCCGCAACTTTAAAAACACCTCAGACCAACCGTCCAGATAGCCTTTACAAGTATCGGAATCCTGGGGGGTGGCATATTCTCGAGCG